GTCTCTGGTACCACCTGGGACTACTCTGAGGACCCTTCCGGATAGCTTATGCTAACTCCGTCAGTTTTGGTCCATTTTACTCTGTTCTTTTTGGAGAAGGTACCTGACCTTCTCACCTTGGCCACCTTATATATCCTGTGAACAGCTTCTGGTCTGACAGATGGCAGCGACATATACCACGTTATGGACATGTCTTCATAAACTCCATTTAACTAGTAAGACGGCAACTCCACCCATTTTGGCCCATGACGCTCGGGGTGAACCCTGGGGCCGCAGGTACCTGTTAGGAATAATTCTACCAAGTTACAGCTTGTTCAGAGCACTATAGCTCCTTCTGTAGCCTTCCGATCAAAGTGCAAACAAGTGCCTATCGATCGTCATTGTGTAACAAACAATCCTAACATTTCCTCGAATTCCTCTGAGAACATTTCTGATAGAAGGTAGGGTAATAGTGTTCCTAAGGTAGGATAAGTATGCCCATGGTGACACGAAACTGGTCTCCATGGTAGGGTAACGTGACTCTCCTAGGCAGGATAAACTCACCCGGCCTTCCATCCTAACCTTAGGTTGGAGTGGACATTATCACCTTACTTCCACTACTTAGGCACACCTATTCCTTAAGTACCTTCTGTTCTTTAGGATATCCGGACCATCGGATATCCCTGGGACATGCGCCCGCATTCCCGCCTAGTCTACCATATTACCTCTTGGTCTTATGTATAGGTGTAGACTTAGGTTGCTATAGTTCTATAATGTAGGGTCGTTACACTTTGAACTCACATCCTGTGCTTCTACCCAAAGCAGGTATAGTCCATTCACTTTATCAACATTAACCACAAATCCATTATGGCCTTGCAATGAAGCTCCCCTAGACTCATGAAACCATATACGATAACCTGCCTTTCGGAGCTGGGAAACTGAAAGAAAACTGTTTGTTCCATACTCAGGAACATATAGCACACCCGCAATGACCACCTTCCTCTCCCTCTTCTGCCTGTCATCTCAGACAGCAAGAGTCACACTTCGTTCTCCATGGACCATAATCTCAGTATTGTCAGTAACATGAATTTTGTGCTGTCCAACAGCTAGAGGAACAAACTCAGAAAGGTTTTCTTGCATTCCAGTAATGTGGGTACTGTACCCACTATCTAAGAGCCACTGACTAGAGGTCAAGGGAATTGACGTAGTTGTAAAAGCAGAGAAGATTGTTGCTGTACCTGTAGAGGCGGGTTTGAGGGACGAATCAGTAACTGCCAATGTATTCGTATGACTCTTGACAGTATCCTTCGCGCGATCTGACTTGAGCTTGCGGCATTCATTCCAGCAGTGTCCCTTCTTCTGGCAGTAGTAACATGTGATGTCCTCACTCCCCTTACTCTTGCATGGTCCAGCTCCCCCTCTGCATTCACTTGACTGTCCTGCCCATCCACTATAATACTTAATCGTGCCAAGGTTGTGACTAAGCATCACAACCCCTGGTTGCTCGCTCGCTCGCAACCTGGGCACTCCTCCAGAGTGCCTGCCAGCTCAACATGACTTTACAGCTCAACATGAC